AAATTTATGAAGAACACCCAAGGGCCAAGAATAGTAAGACATTTTTGAAGACAAAGAGAACAGGATGGAAGGAAATTGCTCCCTCAGATATGAAAGCTAATTATAATGCTATAGCTCAAACTAATTACTAAAGGAGGAAATACAAGTTAAAACCACAGTGATTTTGTACTCACAGATGGCAAAAAGGGAAATGTTTATATTATTAAATCATTGTGAGGATGTAGGGCAATTAGAATTTTTATACACTTCTGGTAGAGAGAATAGCAATATAATATAATCCCTTTGGAGAATGTAGTTGGCAATATCTAATAAATTTGAAAATGCCATCATATCTTTGACCCAGCATCTCTACTGTCTTATACATATCTATTAGATAACATGGAAAACAATATCAGTAGAAGAATTTTGGAGTGGCATGTAGTTGGAAATAGCACAGATATCCACCAACAGTAGAATGGATAAAAATCATAGTGTGTTAATTAAATGGTGTTAGGATACAGCAGTGAAAATGGACTTCAGGATGGATTAAGTTCACAGATATAAATTTGAATGATAAAAAATGCAATTTGCCCCAAAATAGATAAGATCTACCTAAAGTTTAAAATATAAAAGTTATGTCATACTTAGGTATATTAGATATGGGGCAAAATTAGAAATGAATGCAAGCAAGTGATAAGTGTAGATGTCAGGGGAATGATGACCTCTTGCCCATTGGGCAAAAGGTCTCCCTAGGAGAAGCACGTGGACCTTCCATGTTGGCTTTCCTCTAGTTATTTAACTGGTAGGTAGTACAGGGGGTTTTATTCTCATGCTTTATAGCTTGTTTACATGTCACATTGTTTTATAAATAGACTTTATGTATATAAAGTATATATACTTGCTATCTTTCTCTTTTTAGTTTCTCTCTCGCTCGCTATATATATATATAGATAGATAGATAGATAGATAGATAGATAGATAGATAGATAGATAGATAGATATAGTATTTCCTAACTTAAAAATAATCATCAGCTCCAACAATATTCTGTTGCCAAGAAATTATTAGCTGTACTTAGTGACAGTTTTTCCCATCAGTGTGCTTAACATGGGCTACTGCTTCTCCTTTAAATACCTTCTACTTCCTCATCAATTTACCTGTACAAGGTTCCCTTAGAGCCTGGTTCAAGTCTCAGCTCATACAAGTACCCATAACCTTCCTAGACCTCATGCTTATTATATCTTATTGAAACCTTCCTAGACCTCATGCTTATTATATCTTATTGAAACCCATATGAGCAGTTATCTCTTCATTATTTTTTCTCACTAAACACAAGTTGAAAATCTGTTACAAATGCTGTAAGGTACAAAATGAATAGATACAATGTCTTTTCTTAAGGAGCTAGATTTACTCACACCCAATTAGATGGTACTCCTACTAGGGATGTAATTGTGGAATATAAGCAGTGTTAGAGATCCTTATAAGAGAGGAATTGGTTCTGTGATTCAAGGAAATCTTCAAAGAGCCTCAAAGAATTTTTCCAGTTTGCCTTCGTGCATGCAAATCATCCCTTTTTTGCCCACCTTCTACTAAATACTCTGAGCATTTCAGCTGAATCTCCATACCCCATAAAGAACAGGCCATTGTTATGAAAGGTTCATCCACACATACCTTAGCCTCTCTCTAACTTGATGGAAATCACCTATTGTTTCCTATTTGGAGGATGGACAGATGTATCTGAAGGACATTGAATCAACTTTGGTTGTTGGCAGACAGGATGAACAGATTCCATTTTACCCTTGTCTAGACTTGGGTAAAAAAAAAAAAGTGCCCTAAAAATGCCACATAAATATTATTTTGGAATGTTATGTCTCCATGAATCATCTGGCTTAATTAGACTGGTCATTTTGTGTCCATATTTATGTGACTGAGAGAACCAATATCTGACAGATTTTCTGACCTAGAGCGAAACTTCTGGGAAAAAGCTCATACTTGTTGGACCCAGTTCCAGCAAGCCACAGTGCTAATTTTTCTGTTTCTCAATGATGCAGTCATGGCTACAGATTTGGAAGTATCTTAAAACCTTCTCATTTATTAAAGTCTTTGGATACTTAATGATTGTAAGCTTTTAGCTTAATTTAAGCCATGTTTAATAATAGAAATTTAATAGAGACAAGGAAAATCTGCAGTCTGGTTCTCTGGAGATCCTTCTTGAAAGCCTACTTTTGCTAGTAGAATGTGAAGGGAAAAAAAACAGGGGTCTATTTTCTTATTTCTTAGAATGATCCCTTTAAGATATAAGTCAGGCCATAGCATCATACATCTTTCCCTTAATCCTACAGTAACTCTTAGAAGAAAAATCCAAAGTTCTTTCTGTGGCTTACAAACCCACTCCAGAATCTGCCCTCACTTCCTGCATCTCTCCCTCTCCCACATTATGACCCAGCCACACTGGCCTTCTTCCCAGGCCTTGAACTTACCAATGCACATTCCCATCTCAGAGCTTTCCTCCTGACAGAATCACTATTTACAGAACTTTCTCTAATTCCACTCAGATTTCTACTCAAACCTGCTCAAATGCTTTCTCCTTAGTGTGGTTTTTCTTGGTCACCTTATTTCAGATACAATTCATATTGCTCTCTGTGCCTAATTCTGCTGTGTGTTTCTTTATAGCATATGTCACCATCTGACATTCTATGATCATTATGGCATTATATTTATAAGCTTGTTTTCTTTCTCTTTTTCTCAATATAAACTCTGCCAGAACTCTTTCTTTATCCTGGTATTTGGTATATGGTGATGCTCAATGAATGTTTATTAAACAAAAATTAAGTAACTTACTTTTCATTGCCCAAATAGGATGGGGTAAAGAAAAGGTGGAGGCTTGTTTTAGAATCCATGGTGGTGTGAGACAGAGGGAGCTTGATTTTTATAGAAAACATACAGAATTTGACAGAAGATGTAATCTTCTCTATTAGGCATGTAACTTTGAGTAGGTCTGAATGTCCGTTTCTTCTCACCAAATGAATTAAACCAAAGTTGATATGATTTAAGAAGATAAAGAAAGTGATGAGTTCATAAATCCTAAAAAAATTATGTAGTGATTACCACCTATGGCTCAATATGCAAATATGATAAGAGCAGAACCAGCAATTTAAAATATACTACCTTAGATCCAGAAAACTTCTTTTAAATAGCTATTAAATATTCAGTCATTGTTGGGGACCGCAAATCAAGTCAAGATGGCGCCTGGCAGTTTGCCAGGAGGAGTGGTTTGTGAGGCAACGCCACCGAGCCATTAAGGTGATGGGGATTCCTTATTGGCTGACTACTGTATCTAAATGATGCTAATTGAGTCAAGCTGTGTGTAATCAGTTAGGTATATATACCTCTGCTGTTCCGTAATAAAGTGGTTTCCCTTAACTTGGGTTCCCGCTATGTTGAGTTCCTGCTCAGTTCCCACTGAGTTCCTCCGTAATAAAGCAGTTCCCGCTTCAACCTTCAAGTTGCTTGTCACCTCCCAGTTATTTTGCCCAGCCAGATTGCAACATATATATCAGCCGGACTGCGGCAAGTCATTCTTTTTTTTTTTTTTTATAAAAGAAACCACATACATACTGTTTTTAGATCATAAAAAATTTATTTTTAAGTTTAGAGTGATGAAAACTTTTTTTTCTTAAGCAGAAGCTAAAGGTAAATTAAATGCAATTAAAAATGAGTTGAGAAGCAGTTACAAACCAATAAAACATAATATTTCCACCTATTTGTGCACGCAAATGCAGCTATAAATGTTGCTTTCTTATCTCTTAAATTTCAGTCTTTATAAAATTAGCTACAATTTTCATATTGGTTTCTTCTCTGAGGAGTAAGTAGATGTGCTGATCTCAGCTGGTTACAAGTTTTAATTCTATAATATCACCAGTTATCTCCTACATATAATCTTTGTGAACTGTTCTGTGTGGATGAAAGAAAACAGTAAAAGCCTACTTTGAATTATATTATGTAGATTCCCTTTTCCCAGTAAGGAAATTCTTGCTATTGTGGGATAATAACAAAGCATATGTAAGATGGTAACTTTCTAAGAAATTTAAGGTAAAATAAAGATTTTAAACATTTGAATAAGTAATGGGGCATGGATTTTACAACTCACTGACTTACACTTTTTTAGGTGAAGGCTGATTTTGATATGCTAACTTTGTTTATTTAATTCTTTAGACAAGATTATTGCCATATTGTTGAGATCATCCATGTGTAATGAAGTTGTTAAAATGTGCATGTTACAGTCCAGGAACAATTTCTGTGACTGTTTACTTGAGGGAACTGGAACATGGTTTTGTTAAAATAGTATCTGTATATATTTGAGATGAAAAATATGTGCTAAATACCCCTACACAGGTCTAACCAACTGTTTGTTGTACAGGGCGGGTTTGGTTTCAGTTACTTACACTGCCTCAATTCAGGGCCTCTACAGCTCCAGCTTTGTTCCCTGTCTATTCTGTGCACAGAGTTCATTGAGCAGAAGCTAAGAGAGGTGGGAGAGCCCATTTTGAGAAGACAGAGAAGAGGGTGTTGATTCTTTACCCTGGGAGAGTCCCTCCTTTCCTCTCAGGGACGTTCTCAGAGTCATGGCCCAGTAATCTCTCTCCAAACCTATTCCTCCAACTGTTTGTATTTCCATGATGGAGCTTTCTGCACCCAGGGTTGTATCACTTCCCCTTTCTCATTTCTTCCCACTGAATACAACCATCATATTGAAATTTGCTTTTGATACTGCTTGTTGGGAGCATATTACCAAAATTGAATTATCTTCTAAGGGTTAAGAGAGTAGAGGTGCGTGCAACTAGATTTACATCTGATCCTGCAAAGAAATATGTAACACAGAGAGAGAAGAGACAGAGACTCTGTGTGTGGTGTGTGTGTGTGTGCATGTGTGCGCATAGGAAAGGGTGGGAGTATAGAAAGATTTAGGAAGTTACTGGCAGACTTAAAGAAGAGCATAAGTTTTATAATCTCTGACATTTTCTTTGATTCCTTTCCAGGTTGACTTTGGATTTGCTAAAAAAATAGGTTCTGGACAGAAAACGTGGACATTCTGTGGGACTCCAGAATATGTAGCTCCTGAGGTCATTCTCAACAAAGGGCATGACTTTAGTGTGGACTTTTGGTCCCTGGGAATTCTAGTGTATGAGCTCCTAACAGGAAAGTAAGTGTACATCTTCCAGTTTTATTTAGACACTTTTTTAGAGAAATGCCAGAGTAACTCACTAATGATAAAAATTTATAATTCAGGAGTTTAAAATATTTATGAAATATCTTTATTAAGTATATTGCCTTTTTCTCTTTATATTGTTTCAAATACAGTGAGGTTGTAAGCTTATAGCATGCCAGAAAAGATTCAGGAAGTTGAAAGAAAGGAGTATAGAATTGCTTTTTTACCTAAAATGTCAAGGTACCTTATTGAAAATAACATTAAATATGGGAAGGCTTTCTTTGGTGATCCAGCATTAGACTAAAAGAAGGAATGAATGTTTTTAATGAAAGTTTTGAGTGATGTTATAATTTCCTCTTTTTAAAATTTGTTAAGAAGCTATTTTCCTAATTCAATTAAATTCATTGATCAAACAAACTAAACTTAGCCATATTCTTCCATCTTCCCAACATATCATTAACAAGAAATGCTAAGAGAAAGCCATACTGCTGGATTTAAATTCTCATCCTCTTGCCAACTCCTTTCTAGAGGTGTTAATGAACACAGACAAGACGCATCAGGGGTTTTAGCAGTTAAAATTGCATTGTAATTTCCAAAGAGATTAAAATACTATATTAATGAATTCAGGGTCCCAAATATTTAGCACACATACACACGTACAGACACATGCACACGCACATACATCATAGAATCTATGTGATGTTTGCTCACATTTGTAAAATGCTTCACAGTTTACAAAGCACTTATGTAAGCATTATCTAGTTTAGTCTTCATAAATTGGTATGGAAGATAAGGCAGGAATTTTTATTATTATTTTATGATTCAAGTTTTATTATGATTATTTTATGATTTGAATTTTATAGATTAGAAAACCAAGTGAGAAAGCTACCTGCTGAAGATCCGTAATTTAATCTCAAGTCTTCTGGTTCTAAATGAGGTGCACTTTTTGTCACACATGTGGCATTATATCTATTTAGATGTAACATGTGGACACACACAGAATTCAAATCAGTTTTCTACCTCCTTTCTCATTAACTGATTGTATTATCCTTATAACAATTTATAACCAAATATTTCTCAATCTTAATTTCAGAGAGGATTCACATATGGAATAATTTAAGAAATACTGGGGTAGGTCTATTGGGGGTGGGATAGAAGTCTCAAACACTTACTTGAGAAAGAGAGCTTAGTGGAATCACAGAACCTTCTTGATTTTTTTTTTCCTGTGCTGTTGGACCACTGCTCTACCACTGAGCTATCCCTGCAGCCCTTCTTGAACTTTTTATACTATAAGCTTCAATATTAGCTTACCTGTGTCTACATTCAGCATTTTCTTTGAACATGCTGGGCAAACAGATATGAAAGATGGTTTTATATTATCAGTTATCATTTTCAAATATTCATTGCTTACAATTCTGAAGGAAAGAAGGGAAATTTTCCAGGGAGTCATTCAGAGAAGAACACTGTTTAAGGTTTGGGGCATAAGGAATTTTATATCAAGAGTTTTTTTCACCATCTTAGATGTTTCAGCTGTATTTCTGAGAGATACAAGATGGTACCTGTAGGTGACTGGAGATATACATTTCAATCTTCATCAATTAGAATAAATTGTTACAAGAAATAGGGAAATAAAGTGAGAAAACAAGGAAGGCGGGAAATCCCACCACCTTGGAACTGCTTAAGTGGCCGTGAACTGTCATGAAGAAGTTGGGGAATTATTTTTGCAAACGTTTTTAGGGTAGGGCAGGAGAAAAGTAAATTTTAAATGCCCTGAACTCTAGAGAGGCAGGAGGTAAGTGAAAAAGAAAACATCTGAAGAATAAGACAAAACAAAATAATATAATTGTAAATGTATGTATCTCTCTCTGTGTGTTTGTATGTGTGTGTGAGTGTGTTTAAAATATCTTACCAATGTTTTTTTGTTGTCGTTGTTTTCTGTCTCCGTCTCTTTACAAGTGAAACCTCGATTGTTAAAAAAAAAAAAAAAAAAAAAAACCTGGTATACCACCTTTGTTTCAAGTTTATTACCAAGGGTGGGGAACTCTCAGTATCAAAAGTTCTCCAGCATGGCTAAAATATAGCAGAGTAGCAGAAATCGTCTTTAATTTTAAAAAAATAAATGGCATAACAGAATATACATGAAATTATTTTTTAAGAGCAAAGTGGACTATGAAATGTTATCTAATGTCAGTGATCAATTCTCAATTGTTTTTTTACTCATCTCAGCTGTAAATTTCCTTGAAATATTTCTTGCACAAGGACTCTAGGACCTTCCCCTTTCTCCTTATCCCATACTGGTGGCTTCTTCTCAGTCTCTGTGGCTGGACCCCTCCAATCTTTCCAACATCTCAACATTGGACCTTTTTAGCCCTCAACCTCTCTTTTATCTACCACTCCCTATGTGACATCATCACGTTCCATGGCCATAAATGCTATCTGATGACCACGAATCATACTTTCATCCCTAACTTCTTTCCTGAATACTAGACTCATAAATCCAACTGCCTGCTTAACATCTCCATGTGGATGTTCAAAATTTAACCTTTGATTTCCCTTCCTCATAACTTGCTCTGCACCCTCACTGTGTTAGTCAGTTTTCCATTGCTATGACAAAATACTTGAATAAACATCTTACAAGGAAGAAAAGATTATTTTGGCTCAGGTTTTCAGAGGCTTCAATTTAGGCACATTTGGACCTGTTGCTTTTGGCCTATGGTGACACAGTACATCATGGCAGGTACATGTAGCTAAGGAGGCCTATTCACGTCATGGGTTCTGGTAAGCTAAGAAAGAAGAGACCAGCATTTCAATATCCCTTCCAAGAGCATGTCTCCAATGACCTCACTTCTTTCCAAAAGGCCCCACCTTTTAGAGTTTCCACCACCTTCCAGTTGCACTACAGGCCGACAACTAATCCTTTAACACACAGGCCTTTGGGAGTGCATTTCAGTTCCAAATTACCAATCACCACCACAGCCTTTCTTCTTTTAGTGATCATAGTTCCATTTTATAGACATTTAAACCAAAATACTTCAGCATCATTCTTGAATCCTTCTTTTCCTCCTACTCACTGCCTTCATATTAGCAAATCTTATTGTCTTTACCACCTGTCTTAGTTCAGGCTGTTAGAACAAGACACCATAAACTGGGTGGCTTAAACAGAAAACATGCATTTCTTATTGTTTTAGAGGTCTAAAGTACCAGATCAGCATGCCAACATGACAGAATTCTGATAAGGACTCTCTTCCTGGGTATAGATTTCCAATTTCTCCTTTGATCCTGATATGGTGAAAAGATGGCCAGCCAGCATTCTGTCCTCCTCTTAGAAGGGCACTAATCTCATTTGTGAAGGCTCCACCCTTATGATTTAACTACTTCCATAGGCCCCACCTCCAACTACCATCACCTCATAATTAGGGTTTCAACATATGAATTTTGGAGTGGTCACAGACACTCAGTTTATTTTACAGTCTAGATAGATCCAGAATCCAACCAGGTCTCACACCTTCAATACCATTGTCCTCTGCCAGGATAGCAGGCCTTCTTACTGACTCCACCCAAACTCCATCATAGTTTATTCTCCATGCATTGAAGAAAGCTAATTTCTTCATTAAATCACCAAATATATACATTTCCAGATCCTTACCATAGCCCAATGGATCTACAAAATGTTGCCTTCATCTCTTGCGTTCCTTAGCTGTTGACTCACGCCACCAGCCACACTGCCCACCTCACACCTCTAGAACACACAGGCCTATTCCCGACACACGATCTTTGTTCTTCCTGTCTTAGAGCCTTCTGCCCACAGATTACAGTGTAGCTCATCCACTTCCTCTCTTTACTCATATTTCAGCTCAGGAGAGAGGCTTTTCCTATTCACTCTTTAAAAAAAAAAAAAGTATCATCTCTCTCTTTCCTTTAGGTTTTTTTTTTTTTTAAGGATCATCATTAACTGACAGATTACCTGTGTGTGTGTGATTTAAATGATGTGAAATTAGTGAAATGATTTTCTAGCACATATCCAAATATGTGCTATAAAATAACTAGGAGGACAGGGGAAGAGAGATAGAGAGGAGGGAAGGAAGGAAAGAATGGAGGGAGGAAAGAAAAACTTAAGAGAGAAAGAAAAAAGAAGCCCTGGATTCTGGTCTTAGTGTGTCCTATTTTGGATTTTCCCTAGCCCACCCTTTTCTGGGGTTGATCAAATGATGACCTACAATTTGATTCTCAAAGGAATTGAAAAAATGGATTTTCCCAGGAAGATAACAAGAAGACCTGAAGATTTAATTCGCAGGCTTTGCAGGTGAGAGTGACCATAAGTATAACCCCTTGTTTTGGATTAAGTGTGAAGGCTTTCAGGTTCTCTCCTTATACATTTTTAAATTAGGTCTACACTTACTTTTTAAAAATATTGCTAATTATATTTAAAGAAAGTTGTTTTTTATTCAGTTATGAAAACTAAGTTAGGAGTTTTGAGTTTACCTCATGTGTTGTAGAATCCAATAGCAATGTATACTTTAAAAAGATCCAAATTTCACAGATTATCTTCAGGAATCATCTTCATCTGTTACAGGGCAAAATAGAATCACAAACCTTGGGTTAAAAATAAAATTATTTATTTATAACCTAGTTGTTTTGAGAGAAAATTAGTAGTGTTGATGCCTTTTTTTTAACTTTTAATTTTTAAAAGGCATTCTTCTGATCTTACTTTAAATTACCCCGTTTTTTTCTACTTAATACTAAAATCATTTATCAGAAATAGAAGGTTTCCAGCTTTTTTTTTTTGGCTAAGTTATACTTTGTTGCTACTTTCTTTCTTTTTGTTTTGTGCACTTGAACTTTTTTTGAATCATTAAAATTTAGTAAATTTAGAACATGAAACCTAGCTGTGGTGGCCAGCAGGAATTCCTGCCTGTTTCTAAGAAGATTCCAGCTTAGATGTAAATGATTCTCTGAAGCTTTCCCTGGTTTTCTCAGTTGAGTTGGCAAGATAGTACTTACTAAGTATTTATTTATAGCTCCGTTAAAGAATTCATACAAATACATTCCTAACTAGTTCAACTGTGCCTCTTCCAGGAGGGCCACGTCTTTTTCATCTCCCTAAACCCAGGTGTCTGACCTACAGTAGGAACTTGATGGATACTGTTGAATGAATGAATGAATGAATGAGACTCACTCAAGTATCATTACTGTAAATTCTCTTTTTAAAAAAATTATGCTTTCAGGCAAAATCCAACAGAAAGACTGGGAAATCTAAAGAATGGAATCAATGACATTAAGAAACACAGGTCAGTAGTTACTTTTTTGCCCAGAATAATATAGAAATTATGGGAATTTCTATATTGTGTAGATTTTCCATTTTTTCTGTGTGTGTGTGTGTGTGTGTGTGTGTGTGTGTGTGCAAGAGCGTGCATGTGCAAACTTGGGGGGTGGTTTTGTTTTGTTTTTCCTCCTTTGTTTTGGGTGTGGTCAATGCAATCAATCTCAAGGAGATTTTTGTACTGTTGGAAATTTATATTGGGAATAGATGAAGTTATAAAACAAGTAACAAAATCACATCTTCAGGTCATAGAAACTTAGCTTTTTATTCACTATTTTCATTGCTTTGTATGATGAACTTGGATTCTATAAGGAAATTAAGTTCTGTTTTCAACACTAACTTTTTAAATAAAATAGACTATAATCATTACTGTCAATATTCAGGAGAAAGTGTTAGCTAAGTAGGTAGTAAAATAGCACCAACTTATGATGTTTTAACTTTATGATTGTGCAAAGTAACACAGTCTGTAGAAGCTATATGATGAATTTTGAATTTTGATCTTTTCTGGGGTTACAGATATGTGGTATAATATACTCTTTAGTGATTTCTTGCAGCTGCCAGGCACAGCTCCTGGACAGCCACATGATCATGGGGGCAAACAACCAATACTCCTTAAGGGACTGTGTTGTTAAGCTATAATGTTCAGTAGGGTAGATATATTTTAATGTAGGATATTTTCAGGTTATAATTGGCTTATTAATATGTAACTTCATAATATTTCATCTTATTCTCTTTCAGTTTTAATATGTTTAAATATAATTTTCCTTACCATATTTCTCTGAATTCTCAAGTCTCATGTTAATTTTATTTATTTTGGTGAAGAACATAGATTTATGCAGAACTTCAAGAATCGAGTTCTCCTTGTACTGTAATTTAATATGCAGTTAGATTTTTCAGTTCTATGAGTTTCTAAAAATGGTCTTCAGCGCCATTGATAACTTCCTTAAGACATCCTCTCTGATTTGATTAAATATTCAAATGTGGCCCTTCAAACCTGGAAGATTTCTGTTTATTCAGTCAGTACCTGGCTGTGTCCTGCAATCTTCAAGATGTTTTTACTTTGCTTATTATTTATAGATAGAAAATATCACTTCTAAAAAAAACATTGATAGTACTAAAATAATTTTGAGAATTTCATTAATTGAAAACCTTTGGATCCACTGATGCGGTCGCTGTTAGAAATGAAAACGACTCTCAATAATTTATTACTCTGTGGATTTTCCTTTCTTTTTCTTTTCTTCTTTTCATGCTGGGGATCGAACCCAGGGCCTTGTGCATGCGAAGCACACACTCCCCTACTGAGCTACACCCCCAGCCTTCTATAGAAATTTTCACTGAAGAGCTGGGGACACATCAAAACAGTGTGAAAATAAAAGGAGAGACGTGGCTACCGATAAATAGAAACACTATTCATTTTCCTAAACAGTAAGCAGTACAGCTTAAAAAAAAAATCCCCAAGCTGCCAGCCCTGCTCTATGTATTCATGAACTTACTTGAAATAAAGCCATGTATTCAACATTGTAAACTCATATCAAGCTCTGCCTTAAGGAGGAAAGAGGGGAAGGAGAAAAAGCAGAAAGAGGGAGAAATAAGACAGATAAATCTGCGGATTTTATAGACATCAAAATGCTTGTAGTATTTTAATGTTCTTTCTTGTCCTTTGGATTGCCTCCAGTTGTAAAGCTCATTATTTAATCTTAGATTCCAATTTATCTTCTCCCTGCATTCCATGCTATTCTCACAGTTTCTTTTCTCATTATAAAATGACACATCAACACACCATTCACATGGCAGAAACAAGTGTCCCGTCAATTAAAGTGAATCTTTCAATATATTTTCTCCCTTTCTCTCATTAAAACGTCTTCAGGTTTGGCTCTGGGGTAATTGAGAACCAGAAATGATATAATTGTTAACCGCCTGCAGCTCTATCTTTTACTTACTTCCCCAAGTCCATTTAAATGTAGCTGCCAAATTGTGATTGGATGCACATGGAAGTTGATGGTAAAGAACTTCCTCCCCTGGGCATCTTAATAAAGAATTCTGAATTTCATTCTCTGTGGGGAATAATTTGCCGCTTTTTCCTAAGAGGCAAGGTGGTCTTTGCTGTGGGTAGATGTGAAGAAGTCAGAGTATAATGTGTAGAAAAGAGTTGACTAAAAAGATACACCAGGCTTACACAGTGCCTTCTGGTGAGATCAGAGAGCTCAAAACCATGATTTCATTCTATATTTCTGTTTTCATGCTGTTTTTAATGAAAGTTTGGTGGAAGGGAAGACCTTCATATTTTTCACCAAACAGAAGTGTTTTTCAACCTTCCCCAAGTCTCCAAGGTATATAGCTTTACTCCCCAGCATATTCTTAGAATATTAAGGGAAAAAAAAAAAAACAAAGTCTGGCATTAGATTTTCCCCCCTCTCTAAAGTAAAAGCTTCAGTGATTTTAGAGACCTATTCATGTAAGCATTTCATTTAAACACAATAGAGTTAAACATGGAATATTGTTATATAGATTTATTCATTCTGTGTTTAATTATCTTTTCCTAAAAAATTTATTATAGAGCTCCTCTTTCCCATATTTATGAGCTAACTTATAAAGGAGGCATCAATCACATCTCCCAACACCTATTTTTAAAAGAGGAATAATAGACTTGTAGGGTACTATTAAATTTTTTTCTGATAAGAAGAGGAATAATTTGTTTCAAGTATTTTAAACATTGTTTTACTTTTAAGAATAGCTTCTACAAGCCTTCTGAAAACAAAGAAGCAATTTATGTGCTGTTAATGCCAATATTTCCTTGGTGAATGTTTTTCACCCATGAGTACATGCTGGCATTTGCATTACTTAAAATGTGGTTAATATCAAAAGGCCAAGTATGAAGTGAATGGCCACTCATGTTAAGTAAACATTACCATAAGTCAAATTGTAGCAAGTACTCTGTAAAAAACATACAGTCTCTTTGATTGAGTAATGGTAATGATACAGTCTGAGTAGAATAATGGTAATGATTTTTATTAATGTTTGTGGAGTACTTCTGGGTAGAGAGAATTAAAATATGTTAAATGTATTGTTACTGTATTTGGTCGCAAAAGAAAACAATCTACAGAACTATGTACCCAGAAATCTCTAAAAATGGAGCCTCTGTCTGTGGGAAGCAGTGATGGGTGGATCCAGGAGAGAACTGTGGTTTCTGTCAGAATTGCAGGGCAGCAGAGGGCGATGGAACTCCTGGTGCTGCTGCCTGGAAATCAATCTTTGGCTAGAGTTCCAGCAGCTTCTACTAAAATGGCACTTTGGTTTAGGAATGGCATCTGAAATGGAATGTACTAGGACTTGCCCTCTCTGTTTTTAGTTCCTACTCTTTCGCTAAACTTAGGCTTGGATTAGGAAATGTAGTCAAGGACTGAACCAGAATCAACTCTGGGGTACAGAGAGACCAAGAAAGGTAGAAGCACTGACTTAGCTGATAGAAGAATATGACAGCCTCCTAAGTATCACCTTGCCTTCTATCTCACCCCACCACACCATCACCACCTGACCAACCCGGTCCCCTGTGGTTATTCCCTACGTAGCCAGAATTGTCTTTTGAAAACTCGATTGCATCATTTTCTTAGAACTTTGTAATGGCTTCTCATCACAATGAAAGATCAATTTCTTATTGTGCCCTAAAACACACTAATATGATCTGGCCTCTGGTTATTTCTCAATACCTTTTTTTTTTTTCTTTTTTTAGTTTTCTCTGCTCTCACCATATTTCAGTTCATTCCTGCCATTTTCTTCCATCTGGAAGGCCCTTGCCACAGATGTTCTTATGGCTTCTTCACCCTTCTCTTCATTCTGGCCTTAATTCTAATAATGCTTTTTAAATACCACCCCAGCTAAAATCCACTCCTCCTATTATTCCCTTTCCAGCCATCATTTGTTGCTGAAAGCTCCGTCCTTGTCCCCAGTGCCAAATCAAAATAAGGATATGGTTCTGAAAAAAATGAAAAAGAAGTTTTATTGCTTTGTTAGTAAAGGAGAAACACAGGGGATTTCTGTCCCAAAGTCTGTGATTCTACCCATAAGCAGGAACAGGGGACTTTTAAAGAGATGATTCAAAGGCTACATTCCATTCCACGTGTTCTCTGTTGGAGTTATACTTCATTTGTTAATTTTTGAGACAGTCATTTCTGACACCTTCTGGTACCATCCCCAAAGTCTGGATTACTTCATTCCTATGGTGAGTGTGTACCCAAGGACAGATTAACTCTGTCTAGGAGGGGGAAGAAAGGTAACCTGTTGCCCTTGATATTAGGGAAGGGGAGAGATAGGGAGGAGCAGGGAGAGAGGAAGTGAAAGAAATGTCCATTTAAAAAATGCTCTGCAGTGCAGAGCAACAAGGGTTTTATTCAAAGCATGTTACATTTCCCCACTGTCAATTTCTACATTTCATTTCTGTGGAAAAATGGGCAAGCAAAGTTGAGGGAAGTAACCCAAAGTACTTATTCTGTATCAGGTCGGCCGTGGACAGTTAAGGGCATTCAGCATCAGAGGAGTCGAGTTCCACAGTGGCAGATGGCAGGTAACTGGACATAAGGCAGAGATCATGCTAAGACAACAATAAACAATACAGCAAAGTATTTTTTGTAAATAATTAGCACAAAAATACTTAGTATTTCAGCCAGTCTCTGAAAACCATGAGGATGGTATTACAATCTTATCAGTGAAAGACAGATCATGTTCATCAATGTAGGAGGTTAGGAAGATTTGTCAGTCTATGAAATCAGACTCAAATTAACTCAGGACAACTTTGTGACTCTTGTAATCATTATTATTAGGCACTGCCACACAAGAACCCTTCCTTTATAGCCTCCAGATTTACTTACTTTTGGTAGAGCTGACATAAGTATACATCTTAAGTTGCATTTAAAAAAAACCAAAACATTGTTTTTGCTTTTAAATGTCCATGTAGAACTGTGCTTTTAGTAT